GATTTTTTCCCACAGGTCTCAGGGAGGATAACATCATCGCTATTGTCGACTTGACAAACGAAATACTAAAGAACAACTGGTCAATAGCAGAGCAATTAGAGCCCATCATATCAAGATTATATTTTATCGTACAAAGGTACAGTACAGGCCAGAAGTTTTTCAGGGTCCCCACGCGCGGGAAATGGACAGTCTCCACGCACAGGCTCCGCTCGTACGTGTGTGCTTAATTTATGAACGAAGGGTGGACCCCGTTTGTACGAGTGGAATAGTCTTTTGTAATACAGTTCTTTTTGTTTTGGCCAACAAACCCCAGGGACCTAGCTAAAGCAAAGAGGTCATACTGTACATGTTATAAATATTATGAGCAATCATAAATAGCTCCCTCAACTGCTTGTTTGACATGAAACAGTAGCTGAGTTTTAGCAGAATCTTATTGATTTTAAAGAATGAGAATAAATTATGATTACACATATGCCAGACCTTTTGTTAATTTCTCAAGTAAAACAAATTCCTCTTTTTCTCCAATGAAGGACTAGCGTCTGAAACATCAGTAAGTTTTTTTCACCTTTTCACGGTGTATAATTTACTCTTTTATCATTACTATAAAAAATTCTGTTCGATTTAAATTATGTATGTACAAGTATAATGCATGGTAATCCAGTAGTGGTAGTACTATTCTCTCACCTCTGGGGTCTCTGGTTCAATTTCTGGACTCGGCATCACATGAGAGTAAAATTTGTTGGGGCTCTCTCTTGATTTCGGGGGTTTTTCTCTGCGCCATATCTCCAGGTTTCCTCTTGTCGTCTTGAAATATCATGGTCCTCTCCCACACCATGGCAGCTGTGAAACCACTGAAGCAGCTTAGAAGTGCCTAGCATGGGACTTAGAGACCACTTCGTGCTCTCCCTATTGGATAGTCTTTCACATTCATTTTTCTAATTATGTATACATGTACCTTAGTTATAGCTATAAATAAAGTTGTTAAAAGACAACTAATGGTTATTCCTTTATAATAATACAATAAGCATTTCTTTAATTTGATTCATTTTATGCTTCTATGTTTTTAGATGCGCACCTTCACCTAATCTACCCCAGAACCTCCTTGCTTCATGCCTGTCTTGTTTGGCCACTGTTGCTTCCCATCATCCATTGCAGGTACACCTGCTACAATTATAGCATCATACATCATCATAGCATCATAGCATCATATATAGAGTATTAACAACTATGATTTTCTTAAGGTGCATCACTACCACACTAGACAATAACTCTCACAATTTGTTTCATGATATTTTGCAAGACAGTTGGCAGGAAAAATTGCCCAGTCACAAAAATTTTATCCCACAGCTTGTTGCATTGCATTGCTGCGATAATTGCAAGAAGGAGAATAAAACTATTCTTTTTGCATGGGTTGGGGTAACAATTTCTCAATATTTGCGCAGTGTAACACCATTTTTCCTCCATCATTTCTATCAGGTTTGGTTCAGCCTTCAACAAACAGGATTCCTTCCTCACTGTACATCAGCACATTCTATTGATGAGAACAAATCAACCATTGAGTAAGTCATCCAGTTTACAATGGCACTGGGGGGAGGGGATGGGTTGGCAATTTGTCCAGGGGGAGGAGAGAGTGGGGAGACTATCATTTTGGAAAACAGCTCAGGATTTGTGAGGATGTTTAACTCCAGGTTTATGTTTAAGGTCAATGAACATTGCATCTGGGAATCTTGGTGTTATACTCAGYACTAGAGAACAGCCGCTCGGACAATACCCAATCACCATGGCAACGCTTCGTCTGTTCCTGCAGCTGATGTGTGGTATTGGTCAAGCTCAAGAAGAAACTGACCAACCTGTCAATTTCCTGGATTTGGCTGCTTGTCTGGTGTTTGTGCTCAGGGAGACATTTACTGGCTTCTACAAGTGGAAGTTCACGGCTGCAAAAGATCGAGAGGAAATTGGTAATTCATTTTTTGGATGACTAATGTTGCCTCACACCACCCTGCTCAGTAATTTTATTTGTGGGCTTTAGTTAATTATAGGTCTTTACAATATCCAGGCCAGAGGTGAGAGGGCCCTGCCTCTAATCACACTCCCCCCCCCCCCACCCCCCCCCCCCCCCCCCCCCTCATCTCTTTTCTCCTTTCCCCTCCCTTTGTCTACTTGGAACTCTTTCCTTTCCTTCCTCCCGTCCCCTTCTGACCCCCATCTGCCCCCACCATMCTCCCAGATACACTTGCATTGGTCTCTAGAGGCAGTTTAAATATTAATATACCTTGCATCCTTACAATCCTTGTGKCTTCCCAGAATACTCAAATTGCAAYGGCAAATATCTAGCACTGTCAAAAYATGTCTTTTGACATCTGAGTCTTCATCATATCGTAGGTCAGAGGAGTTTGGAGATCTTTAACGCAGTTTTGGGACTTCAACTAAAGAATCCACAGCAAAAAAAAGATGAAGGGATGGACTTGGATATATCTGAAGCCAGACAACAGATAAGGTACATTGTATGTGCRTAACAATTAGTAATGCTATGAAAAACAACATTTATTAAATATCGTGGGGAAAATATATCAAATATATATTATCAATAGTATGCAAATGCTCCAGAACATTTGCATACTATTACCCCACCATGGAGGGCGTGCCCCCCCTCCCCAACCCAACTATTCCCTAGAATTTTTTTCCAATTTTCTTTCATCAAAACCTTGTGATTTTGTGTTTCTTCGGACCCCCCACCCCCTGGGGATTTCTGATTTCATTCATGGTGGTGTATGGATATCATTGTCTCAATCACCACCACCACCACCACTATCTTTATTATTACATGTATGTACATCAATAGCCAATGGCTAACAAATCTGTGGTCCTCATTTCCTCATTCCATTATCAAATGGAATTTAGATATTAAATTGAAAAACGTAGAACCTGCAAAAAAACCCTCGAAGCACAGGAAAGAACCAACAAGCAAACCCTACTCATGTGATGACAGGGGCTGCGGAGAGGGAGGGGCTAGGGGGGCTTTAACCCCCCCACTTTTTTCCCATGATTTTTTTTTTCTTTTTTTTTTTTTTTT